TCATCTGGACATTGAGCCATTGACCAGTACCCTCTGGATCCTCTGCATCCATCCAAGCTTACGGAATTTCAGTCTAAATTGACCAACTGGGACAGAGGCTAAAGCCTGTGAGGCTTTTCATTGAGCTGGTAACCATAATCTCTTGGGGCTAAACTATTGAAGATCTGAAAATTGAATTGTGCTTCCTACAAGTCTCCCTGTGTTCCTGGGGAGAGGAGTAGGTTCCACAGTTCAGGGAGGAAGAATCCCATGATCAGCTCAATGGAGCATGAAGAACCATCATATGCATCCTGCACAATAGGGAATTCACAATAACTTCACTACAGCTTTGCAGAAAGCAGATTACCCAAACTAGCTTCCAGCAGCTCGTCAGGTGCAACAGTCACCTGAGTTGATTCTTACTAAATGTTTTGGTCATCGACATGCAAACTGGCCACATGAAACTTGAGAAAAGTTTGAAATCTCAGACTGAGTTCTTGCTTTCTAGTAACAAGTCAGACAAACAGGTATCAGGAATTAGAGGAATAGAGTGATTTTGGCTTCTTTGTGAGAAAGCATTTGTGGAAATAGGAAGAAGAAAAGAACAACTTGGGTTCATCAACGTGCCTTTGTTGCAGTATGGGAAATAAAAATTGTTTCAATTTCATCTGATGAAGCCTTTGTGGATTCTAACAGAAGTCCTGGGGCACAGAGTTTTACCTGTCTTTTTGCAGATCCTGTGCTTTTTTGGAATATCTGCAGGAGCTACAGCTGGCTGAATAATAAATGTGATCTATAGTAGCTCTCATGATCTTCAAAAGATGAGCAGAATGGTAAAATGAGGAATAGCAAATAATAGTTAAAATATAGTCCCTTGGTTTTACTGGCATTGTATAAAGACTGGGTCAGATTCTGCCTGTAGTCACACTTAGGCAGCTTCCTAAGTAACGTATGAATTTGTTGAGTACAAAATTTCGTTCAAGGATTTTTAAAGGATAAATTATTAAAGTCACAAACAGCAGTGGCCAATGGCTTGCCTGCTGCCTTTTTGGGAACAGTGCCACCTCCTATACTCTGTGTCTTTATGCATTCTGATGTGAAGAAGTTGAGATGCTGGCAAGCCATTAATTTCTTACTATTACATGATCTCAGATATTTTTGGCCATGTGGAGGCCTGGGTCATTTGCTTCCTTCTGTGGTAATAATGTGACTAGCTCATTTTCCACCAGGGTGAGAACCCCCAGTTACTAAAGCATCTTTTGCAATTTGGCTAACATTTTGTAAGGTGTTTCTCAGTTTTTAGCATGCTTTTATGCAGTTGTTATAAAGTACAGGATTTTGTGAGTTGGCAGGCTGTTGATTTCCAGCACAGTATGGCCATAGCATATTGCCAGGTTCTGCAAGTCTCTATCTCCTGTAACAGAACACAACAAGATTGATTATAAGTAGAATTTGGAATTACAATAACTAAAGGCTGTTGCTGATTTCTGAGACGCATGCTATAAAATTCCATGAAAATTGCCTGCAAAGAGCCAGTGATACCATGTAATAATGGTTAATTGTGGACCTGGTTGATGTGTATATTTGCATACACATATATGTGTTGTTCACAGTCAACATTCTCTTTACCATGAAAGGTATAGTCTTTAGGTTAAAGCTGATGTTTGTGTTCTGCCATTGTTGTACACAGACGCAGTGCCCGGCAGAGCCTTTGGATTCTGCATGGATTGCAGCGTCAGAATTCAAATCTGTGAAACCACCTCCCCACCCAAAATCTCATTGTGAATTCCCAAGCTCACACAGACTCCACAATCCTCTCAACTCCTCAGATTATTTTAATCTAAATCTTTAACTCTATCCCAAGTGCAGTTTTCATTCTGAAGTGTTAGAAGCTCTTCAAAATCCCATTAAGAAGTTTTTGCTATTGCCGTTGGTTTTAAAAGACAGCCCTCAGAGATTACAGCAATGGGCATAAAGTTCTGCAAAGAAACGTAAGAACATAGATGCCATTAAAATAATGAGTTCTGTCCTAAAATACAGTTCATCATTTTAAAGGGTTGCTTGTGGCACAGGATGAAGAAGATTCTTTGTAGCTGAGAAGAGGCTGAACCCAGATGTAGCAACGAGTTATTCAAGTGATTGTATCTTGATTCGCTTTGTTTTATGCAAAAGATGGTCCAAGCCGCAAACATATGATATTTTAGAAGATACAATTCCACAAAGTGGAAAAAAATCGTAAGCCAAATGAGTTTGGAAAGCTCATTTTATAGAAACCATGTAAATGGTAATTTGAAATTCTTTCTGAACATCTTACTTGAGAACTTGGGAAGGCTGCCACTGAGAAAAAAGATTGCTTAGATGTAGACCCACATAGATTAGAGCAAAAGCATTGAACTGTGCTCTGCGGTATCCATACGTCTTTGGATAGTATCACATTTTGAAAAGGTATATGCTCTGACATGGAGAATATGAGAAGAGACTTGAAGATCTGGCTGGATACAGAGAAAAGCTTTGTGTAATTTGGAATGCTGCACATTTTGCCAAATCATTGCTATAAAAATCTTGGTCTGTAGATACAAGGCTAGGATGTATGGATTCTATCTTCACTGAAATGGTTTTTGGCATATCACATTTAAAACTATGTTAGTTTCTCCATAGAGAAGTTTTACTAACTGGAAATTTGAAGTATATTTTATATGTATAATTTGAAGTTATTATGTCTGCTTAGAACGATGGTGAGGTTTACTGAAGAAGGTGCTCAGATGAAAAGTGCTTTGTAAATGATACTGTCGTACTCATGCAATTGAATGCCTTGAAGGTGCCACCTACACTACATAGGAGCTTAGCCTGTTGTAAAAGAACATGTCTGTTGGCGTTGGGCGTTGACTGGGTTGGGTTAGGTCTATTCCTTTTCCATATAATTTTCTTTTACTTTAGGCTTAGGCTGTATGGAATTAAAAAGGGTTTTATCGAAGTGGAATTGAATACCCATGTTTCTTTTCTAGGTTACTTTGATGGATGCCAACTACGTTATGGATGAGACTCTTGGCACATCCACATTTCCTATATCTTCTCTGAAACTGGGAGAGAAGAAGGAGGTCCAGTTAACTTTCAATGATGTAAGTTGCAACGTTCTTAGCTTTGCCTGTGTTGGTGCAGCTTTGAACGTGATGGAAAGTTCTTAAAAGAGCACCTGAACTGAGGGACCTAAACTGTTGTGTAGACCAGGACGTACCATGTTTCTGTCCTTTATCAGGTGTCTGAATTTTATCTGTGCCACGTTCTGGTTAGATAAAGCTTCTTCACAAATCAGTAGAGGACGGTGCTTATAAAGGCTAAGTGATGTGTCCTAAGTCTGATGTTACTCAGAGTATTCCCTCAGTCACTTTCTTGAAGCATAAGAAAAACATTTGGCCTGCTCTTGATACTCGTCAGAAGTACATGTTCCTAGATGAAAGGAAATCCAAGACTATTTCTTATCCCATCAGTCTACCTCAGGACTATGTATGTATGTGTTTTCTTAATACAGAGCTAAGTTTTGAATTCAAGAAGGGATTACAGTGTATCATGGAGGGGGTAAGGGTGGCAGCCTTTCAGTCAGGAAGTAGCTGAATCCTGAGGTGAGAATTGTGCTCTTCATACCCTGTTCTGAAGCTCGTTTTCTAAGCACTCACTGTTGTCCATGGTTAAACACAGAGTGCTGGCCTAAAGGCACTGTATTTATCTTCTCACAGTCCTGCTGAGAGGAGAATTAAGCAGTGCCACTGAATGCCTTAGTGTCCTTTCTGAGAGAATCCTCTTTAAAAGTCTAGTTTTAAGCTTCCGCTTGCTAAACCAGTTTCTGCACCACTTGGTTCAATTCAGTTTAATGGTCTTTGTTAGCATGAGAGGTTACGCAGTGTTGCTGGTCAGTATATTACCTCTACTACTGATGCCTGTGGCTTCCGGAAAGCTAACAGAAATTCTTTTATTATTATAAGTTTCACTTTCAATAAATGGCTTGTTGCAACACAGCCCTAGTTAACATGCAATAATGCATTAATGTGAACGTTCTAAAAAAAAGGCAAGTCCCAATTGGATTATTCTCTTTAAACACATATACAAAACATACGGAGTCAGTTTAACAGGATTGTCTGCACGGTAACTCCCGGAAATTGTTGTTAAATCTGTGTGTAATTGAGCTTGTCCTGCATGTATTAAAATATCATCATTTATTAGAACAACATATCACAGGCCATTCTGAACATAATTCGGTACTTGTAGTTATATCCATCACATCTGGTTATCTTTATATGTATATATATTTTATGCATATACTGTATGTATAAATACTGTCTGCATTTCTGTTTATTATATGATCAGAGGTCTTGATTTGTGACTGCTCTGCTGTTTTCTATGTGATATAACTTCAAAAATGTGGTTACAGCAAATAACTGGTTAAGGCCTATTTATTGGAAATCGGAGAGTTTCATGTGTAAGTTTTAGCATTTAATTAAGCGTAGCCTTAGGACAGTTGGAATTTTGATACCCTTATTTTTTTTCCTTTTTCTTTTTTTTTAAAGTTACTGCATTTTTTGAAGTTTCTGCATATTTATTTCACCAAGTGCTTCAGTAACTTGGGCTTCCAGAGTGTGGGCTGACTGCAGATGCCTGGTTCTGCCAGGCACGAGGTGAGGTAGTGAGAAAGAGCTGATGAATAAATTTTGAAAACACAGTTTACAAAGCTCATGCCAATAATATAAGGCCTTGCCACATTACAGATATGCTTTAACTTCTCATGAGCACTCAGCCAGGCTTGGTAGAGTACATAGGGGAAAAAAACCAGTGAAAAAAGCCAAATACGACTCTGAAATTTGTAAGCAAGTGGTAAGGGAACATCAAGTCAGGTTGAGCCCAATGTAGACAATTTGTATACACCACGTGTATTCCTGAGATTTCTATGGCAGTCTGTATAAGGTATAGAAAATGGCATGCTATTTCCCTATTGGAACGTTTCACTTCAAGGGTTTATTTAATACCACGTGTGTACATTTTTTTCAACCATTGGATCACTGCATGGTTTCTGAAGTGCTTTCTAAATTAGTAATATCAGTTGCTGGAATAACGTAATTACTACCCTGTCTTTGAAGTATTTCCGTAAATGACTCTTCACTCTGTTTCTTCATGTTCGCCCTTTGTTATTTCTTTGCCTTTTCTTTCGCCCACCACCCTGTTAATACGCCACCTCATTTACAATTCCCATTTCAGAGGGCAGGAGTGGAGTGCCAGGTTTTACCTGGCCCGTCGGCAGGTACGCGGGATGTGGGAGGCCAGAGGCGGCTTTGCGCTTCCACGTCCTTAACTACTCTGTATAAGTGTCAAGCAAACGTTCAGTCTGAGGTGTTCTAGCTCCGTTCCTAGTGATCGCATACCACAAACGAGGAGGGTAATCCGTCTGTAGCTAGAGGCAGAGTGAAACAAGACACTGTGTGAGTCTGTTGCACGTCTACAAGGCTGTACCAGTGTGTCAGTGGTCATTGCGTATGAGAGAGCTGGGGGAGATGAAAATGCCTGTCTGTTCCGTCTTAGTTCTAGCAACCTCGTACTGTTGAATTTTGCCTGACAAATGCAGTTAGTGCTTTAACCATCATTTTTAAACTTTTTGCCTGCAGGGAACCCCTTTAAGTGCTCTATGAAAGAGGTAGAGGAGACAAACCCATAGCTTATGGGTCAGGTAGTTCTATGTGGTCTGCAAGTGAAATCATTATGTAGTGACATTTATAAATTTATTTCCACCTTTTGGAAACTTGTAAGCAATCACTCCTCCTGATTGATAAATTTAAGTGTATTTAACTGTGGAAAGAAACTTGGTGGCTCATGTGGAACACAGAACAGTCATTCCCTTACAAGTCTTTGTTTCAGATACAAGTTGAGTATGAAATTTACCCAGTGAAGTGGGAAGCAAGTGGCAGATAGACTGTGGCTGGCAGTAGAAACAAAGGATCGTAAGTGTGTGAAGACGATTGGATCCCTTCAGGCCAAAGATGAATAGCACTGTCAAAAAGTGATTGTCAGTGGAAGAAAGCCAAGACAATGGGATCTGATGAATGAAAGTCAGGATCTAGCAGCACCTAGCAGCATTTTATACTGTATTCAGTGCTAGTGGTGTATTTTTGTAAAGAAAAAGTTCCATAGAAAAGAAAGTCATCACGTATTTCAGAAATGTCCTCCTTTTTAAAAAAAAGTGATTTAAAGAAAAATTCTGACAGTAATAGTTAGTTTGTGTTCCAGGTGTGTTTGTGGTTTTTTGCCTCTGTAAGTGGTGTAAGCATATTTAAATATTTCTTTTTTAGGTCACAGAAATGACTTTGGAATTGTCTCTTGAAGTGTGGTAAGTATCTCATATTTAAAAAAAAAGGTGGAAAATATATTAGCAGGAGAGGTATTTTTTATTTTACTCTGATCGTTAGAATTTTCTTAAAAACATGTCAGATAGAATGCAAAAATTCCTTGGTTTAATATAGAAATACCAAGTACTGTAAAGTCAGGAGACTTTAAAATTGAGGGTTATTTTCACATTGTAATTCTATCATTGACTTAAACACCATTACTTGTACTAATAGGTGTGCCCTTTGCAAATGTTTGCAGGAACAAGGCCACCATATATGAATTTCTCATCCTGGTTTATGTTAAGTGCTTTCCTTTTCAAGGGCTTTTTCTCTAATAAACTCATAGACATCAGGTTCAGCTGTTATCCTCATTATTTTACCTTCTGTGGTAACTTTGCATCTCACATTAACTTTCAGCATATATGGATAGTCATTACAAAGCTGCCCCTGAAATGTGTTTGGATGCTAATACCATGCAGTACTGAAGTCAAAGGTGAAGATCTCAGTAGGGCCAGGATTTCACCATGTGTAAAGCTACGCGGATGCCTACCTTTTTTTTTTCCTTTTTTTTTTCTTCTCTCTAGATTTTGTTCTCCCTCTTTCTTAGCCTATCTAGGTGAAAGACCAAAAATCACCTTGAGGCGTAAACAGAAAAATATCTTTTAAGTCTAAAAATGAATTACTGAGAGCAAGGCATTTAAAGAGTCTTTTTTTGTCTGTAACTATAAATAGCAGTGCTGAGCACTGTAACTGTAAATGTAGAACTCTTTTATAATGACTCTGGAGACTGACAAAGATCCCCCAGGGATAATTTCTGCTCATTGTTTTGTACTAGTAGGGTTGCATATGTGGGTGGTCCTTGAGACCACCCCTAAGCCTTCCAGGGCTTGTACATTACAAGTGTTTTATATCGCTGACATTAAATGAACAGAAGATGCTTGGCTATGTCTTGCTGCTCTTAGGCAGTAGGCATTGCAATATGTTAAACAAGAGGACCTGATCAAGTTCTGCTCTCTTATTCTCGGATGGCCGTGCGGATTTTGGATTCTGCGTGGACCTGTTGTTCATGGTATCATATATACCTTCATGGAACGTTGCTTCTAAGCAGTCTTTTTCCCGCTTTTTCTTAATCCCATTATTTTATTACATAATGGGTTTTTAAAAAATCTGAAGAATTATTATCTGTGTCTGAATAGATCCATTTCACAATTGTATGTTTCTCATGGAGGACTCTTAAAAATGCTGCCTTGTAACTAACATGTCAAAGTATCCACAAACATTTTTAGCTCATCTTTGTAAATACAGGAATTCAATGAGGCAGGTACCAGGACAAATTTGTACACTCCTCCCCGCTGCCGTCTGCTGGAGGCAGTGCAGCTGGGAGGTATTGTTCAAACCCTTGGAATGACATACGGGCTCAGTGAGTTAACTAGTCCAAATGAGGTGACGGTTCAAATTGTTTATCCTGCTTTGATACCTGAAATGAGAAGTGGGAGCTGAAGTTGTAGCTTTTATTGAAGTACAGTATAGAGGTCTTTATGCACATTTTGAGGTCTATGTACATTTTTGATCACACAGTGTGGGGAAAAAGCTAGAGAAAAAGGCTTTTTCCTGTGGCCAGCCAGTACAATTTGTGCTGAGATCCATACAGTTTTTGATTGTAAGACTGAATGGATACTGAGTCAAAATTACCCTCTTCTCCCTTAACATGAACCTCTAACTTAAGAGTAGATGTTAGTAGGAACGTATGAAAAATTTTCATTGCAGTTCTTTTTTCAGTGGATAAGCAGAGAATTCAAATTTCTAGACTGTAAATTTATAATTGTATGTGAGTGGTGAACTCACTTGCTGTATTTTAATTTAGGTTTTTTTAAGACCACATAATACACCACTAGAAGCTGCATATTTTGTGTTTGATTTTCACTAGTATGTGAGCAATGAGGTTTCTATATCAAATGCACGTCTTAAAGATGCAGCGTGCCATTGTTTGCTACGTCCATCACTCCATGAAATCAACTGATGCAATTGTGTTGCATGACTAATCATTATTTTATTTTATTTTATTTCATCTTATGTAAGTTAATGAGAAATTTAGTCTTACTTCCATTCATTTCCCTAGGTGATATTTTTAATTCTGTTTTGAATTATGCCTTTTGTTAAAGCCTGTCTGTTTTGCAAAATAGCTCTTCATCATGGCTCTGTGTGATGAGGAGAAGAAATTTCGACAACAGAGGAAAGATAATATCATGCACAGTATGAAGTCATTTCTAGGAGAGGAAAACAGCAAGAACTTGACCACTTCCCGTGATGTAAGTTTGGAGAGTTCACATCAAGATTAGTATCACCTTTGGAGTTCTGCATTTATCTCTCCAAGGAATGAATGAAACATATGAGGTAGAAGGGTTCAATGTAAAGACAGATGGCAGAAGAAAAAGGATTTCTTTCTCCTCCATGTGTATACAATATTTAAATGGAGAATTATTTTTCTTGTGCTCTAAATTTATAGATTAAATTTTAAGGAGACAAAATCCTGTGCCAAAATGAAGCTTCACTTAAATAGCATTATGTGCAAAAGGACAAGACTGCACAAATGCCATTGTAGGACAGAAATCACAACTTCTCATTTGCACTTTAAACAAACTGCTGTAACTTTTAGCTGGTTCTTTATTGTGTTAATCCTTAGCAGGCTGTGCCTAGGTTAAAATCGGGTAAAGGAGATAAATCCATGCTTTTTATTTTGCTCTGATTCTGAATTCCATGCTTTGTTAAGGTGGTGGTTCTGAGCTGAGATCGTCATCTGAAAAATGCCTAAGGGGCATGTGAAATATCTGCTGCACAAGAAGTGTGCGGTGGCTCTGGGCACGCGCCCAACTGCAGAATCTGCCCTTGCATGCTTGATATCCAGCCTGTGCTCTTAAAATGGCCTTGGCTGTATGGCCTTCGTGTCTAAAGGATTAGGCAAGAAGTGAGCTGTTTTAATGTTAGAGTCAGCTTAGAAATTATGTCCTTTATTTCCTTTCTTCTTTTCCTTTAGCCCATTTTGTAGGATTAGGATTATGAAGTTTATTTCTTAGAGAATGTGAGAAACTGCAGCTTTCATTGACTGGCTGGTGCTCTGCAGCAAGCCAACAGAAAGTCAAGCCAACAGATCTAGATGGACTGATGGTGGTTTGGGTCACATCACAGTGAGGAAGGGTGCTGAACCCTACTGATCTTTTCAGTGATTTCGTAAAACACTGCATTATTTTGAGTTAATTAAGGATATGCTCGGTACAGATCCACTTGTTTTGTAGTAGCTTTTCCATCCTCCTCTTTCTTCCTTGCTTGTTCCCCGTCTTGTTCTGCTCCCAGAATTGTGACAGGAAGACTGTGTTTATGCAGGGGTTGTCAAGCAATGAACAGAGTCAATGAATTAATCTGGCTTGATTAATTAATTGATATTGGTTCCTTTTGTGCGTTTTTAATATAAGCAGAGTGTGACAGTCTCTTGCAGAAACTGGAACCAACACTGAAGAATTCCTTTTAAATTTCTATGAAGTTTTGAGCAGGTGGTAAAAACGTCGTTGTATACTTTTGAACTCTGTCTTGCATATTAAAATGTGCTTGTGTGAGCTTTCTAAGGAAGATGAAAGAATTTGACAAGTATCATACATATTTTTTTTGTAGAGATATAAATTGTGCATATTGTGAAGGAACATTTTCATGGTTTCTTAATTTTCAGTTCAGTTATTTTAATCTTGACACATGCAAATCTTACCAGAATAGATATTTGTGGATGTGACATTGGTCTGATCTTCTACAGCAGAATAATATCTTTCTCAGAAAGGCTGCAAATATTCTGCCAAGATCCAGTTAGGACTGGAGTGATACTAAGTGCCTGAAGTATCAGTTCTATGCAGGTGGTATGTGTGCATGAATTATTGTAAACGCTAGGTAAGATTTCATATTCTTTTTGTCATCATCTTCCCTTGGTATCCCTCACTGTCTCAAATACTGAAGGTTTATCAGTTAAATTGCATCTTCCAAGACCAGACAGTAATCTCTAATTGTAGGCTTATCAACCCTAGGAAGAACTGAGGTAATGTGATTCCTCCAGTTTTTCATATGCCGAGTGTGTATTTTTAAGCTGACTTGTCAGAATTTTTAGCTGCTTCTAGCGATGAAAACCCCTTTTTGTTCAAGTTAAAATATAGTTTTGTCCTTATAGCCTCTCGTTTTTACTTTTATTGCTACAGATGGGAGATAGCAGGAGGATTTATAGGATGGTTGTAGTCTTAACATGGCATCAGAAGTCAGGAGACATAATGAGTATTCTTAGCTGCCTATGAGTCATTGTTTAATCTTAAACAAGTCACAAAGTTCACCTAAGTTTCTTCATCTGTGAATAGCAACACATGTGCCTTGCAGGGATGCTATGAGACTTTAATACCTGTGAAATAATTATACATCCCTGGATGGGGAAGTGAGTACTTCCAAATTTACTTACTTAATCTTGAGGCACATTCTAAAAACACAGAGGATGAGATTTCTCGTACCTCTGTTATTGCTCAATTTGTTTTTATAATTTTTGTTGCTTTAAACAATTTTCTAAAAATACCATAATCAATTAAAGCAAGCATATAGTTCTCTAAGACTGGATTTGCAGAACAATTTTTAAATAATCATCTGTGTATCCCATGGCATATTTTCTTCCACCACAGGTACTCTTGTACAGATTTTATGCACTGTGTTTCCAGAGCATTTGGATAAAAACATCTACACCACTCATTCCCAAAACAAGATTTAATATGTTTTAGCTTTTTTGCTAGATTAGTGGAAAATATGATTGAGATTGTCTTTTTCGGAACTCGCTTTTCTTAAAACATGTCTTGTTTCCCAAATCCTTTTCATTTTCATGCCCAGTTTGGTGATTAAGCCATCAGCACTCGTTGAGATGAGGCGCCCATTGACTGAAGTGGAACTGTATGGTGATGAGCTTGTCCACACAGTACAGTGCCCCATGGATCCTAGAAACAATACAGGTGTATTGACAGAACACTTCATCTGCGTTGTTAAATCCTGTTCAGTGGAGTTTGTTTGGAACATATCTAAGCTGGTTTGTTCAAAACTAGCTTGGGTCCCTCAGCATTGTGCCGTGCATAGGAACCACAGGAAAAAGAAGGCTGTGCTGGCATGGCCTTTTGGTTGTTCAGAAGTGGGCACAACCATATAGAATTGAGTGTGGCAGTGTGGCGAAGGATTAGAGCAATGGGCTTTTGTCTCCAAGACTTTTGAATTCAATTCACATTTTTGCCGTTGACTCACCGCATCACTTTCTTGTGAGTCACTTACCCTTTTGGTCTAAGTTTACTAATCTGCTTGAATGGGTTTAGTACCTCTGCCCTGGTTTTACTTTTTTAGAGTGCCTCAAAGAATGGAGTGCCCCAGCCCGTGTACATGGAGGAACGTGTACATCTTGGTATCCTATCTTTTCTCCGTTCTTTCTCAATTGTGGATGACTTCTTGGTTCTTTTCCCTTTGTACTCTGTCTGCAGCTACTTCCCCCCTGCCTCTGCCCTATTTATCGTAGAGGGCAGCTTGTAAGATGGGTGTATGCAATTTCAAATTTTAACATTTCTTGCCCTTAAACATGTTGGAAACTGAATTGCAGCTAAAAAGCTGCTTTAACAAACCTACCTGTTTGGAAATGCACTCTATGTTCCTCTGCAAAGCAGAAAAGGACTGTTAACCTTCATCACCTGACTTATGCCTACAAGTCAACTTGTATTCAGTTGACTGAAATAAATGAATGTAAATGTGCAGTAGATGCTTCTCTTCAGTTATTTTTTCATCATTTAAAAGCTTTATTTACTGTGGGAAGCTTACTTAAGCTGCTGCCCTCTACTCTAGAGCTCTTTAGTTGAATTTCATGCCTGGAAATAAAGTAGTGATTGCAACTCTTCATACTTTGCTTTGGTATCGAGTGGAAATGAAGTGATACTATACATACATGTACTTCTCGGTATACCCACCCTCCCCTAGTATAGGATTCTGTGATTCCCAGAATGCCTGTGGATTAAGTGTACAGGAAGAGTTTGCCGTCGGGATGCTAGTGACTCTTCTCGATATTCTTTGTTGATCCTCCTTACAGATTTCTCTGCATCCTGAAGAAAACTCAGATTTTCCCTTGTGCTCATGCCACTGCACTGATGAATAGATTTGTTGAATAGTGGTGCTTTGGAAGTATTCTCACATACCTTTTCCAGGCTTGCACCTGCAAACCACTGTCTTCATCCTGTTGGGATTTGTCTGTGTAGGTTAATTAGGTAGTGTTTGTAAAGAGCTTTCAAAGCCTAACGTACATTATTAAATTTGTGATTAGTAATATGGCTCTTCTGTTCAAAGCAACTGCTCCGTTATTGGGGTGTTGGCTTAACAAAACAGGCATGTCCTAAATCTTTACCTTTGTTTTGTCGTTTTTTGATAGATAGCTATCTCTGGAGGTGCATGATGAATGCTAATGCCAGTAAATACCTGTGGTTTCTATTACTAAAGCTTAACACTTATGAGGATAATCAAATAATCTTACTGCATCAAGAATAAGCAGTTTTTGTGGCATGGAAGCCTTGAGAAATGTCTCAACATACTTGGTCATTGTGCATGGTCATTTCCGTGTGAGTGCGTTTTCAGTCTGCAGGGGAGTTTCACGGCTTGGAGTGTGGAGTCTGCAGAAAGAAACTGAACTCAGTAGTCACATGGTTCCTTTTCGTATAACTAATCCCATCTATTGGCACCTTAAATTGTGTGTCAGTGAAATTTTTGACTGATTACCAGTTTGATCAGATAGGGGCTTTCTGCACAACTGTGTAATTCTTTTTATGCTTAGTAACAACCAAGAGGTTGTTACCTTATCACCATTGAGCAGTGGAAAATTCTTCTAGGTTTCGGAAACTGGGAACCAGGTGGGACCTTTGCTGAAACACTCAATCATGGTAGCAAGTTAATTTTTAGAATCACAGAATCATAGAATATGTCAAGTTGGAAAGGACCCATAAGGATCATCAAGTCCAACTCCCTGCTCCTCACAGGACTACGTAATACTAAACCATATGACTAAGAGCGTTGTCCAGATGCTTCTTGAACTCTGGCAGGCTTGGTGCTATGACCCCTTCCCTGGGGAGCCTGTTCCAGTGACTGACCACCCTCTCAGTGAAGAACCTTTTCCTAATGTCCAATCTGAACTTCCCCTGATGCAGCTTCATTCCATTTCCAAATGTCCTATAACTGGTCAGCAGAGAGAGGAGACCAGCACCTCCCCCTCTGCTGGCCC